CGCAAGAAAAGCCTGCAAAACAGAAAGAAATCAGAAAAGAAAGAAATTCAGGCACGGACTATGGTAAAACCCGAACGATTCCTTGCTCCTTACTTACAACTTCAGTTGAATTTACTTTTTGTGATCTTTAGCAAAAAAAAAAACAAAGAAAAAAGAAAAGAAAAAGGAAATCCTGTGCTCTGTTAGCATGCACACTTTGGCTTTTTTAGACACTTTCCTTGCAAATGCACAAATTCGCGTATGCAGCTAAAGAAACTAGTTTAGGGAAGCACATGAGGGCTGACTTCCATCTGACTATAAGACTGGAGGGGAACGGAAGGTGTGTCAGGAAGGGTCATGGAAGCTCGCCCTGTGAAGTTCTGTTCTGTCACAGAAGGGGTAACCATGGTCTTGACTTTGAGGGAAAGCGCTCCAGCTTGAGGAAGGCCCCTTTGTCTATGAGTGGCCACATGTATTCGGACCAAGTTGAAGGAACATTCTGGGTCCTTCTAAAACAATGTGGTGTCGATTTTGGATTACAGTAACGCAGAGGCCATTGTCACCTCTCATGCGGTATTAGTGAATTACACAAAACAGCGAACGCGTTAGAAGGATATGGGGAGCAGGGATTTGACTCTGAATTTTTTCAAAGGCAGGGAAAAGCTGTAAGAGTTTCTAGTGAGTGGTGTGGTCCGTCCTGTTTAGACGAAGCGAGAGGTCACTGCCCAGAGGTTTTGAACGTGTCTAGATGGTTCTCCATCTGGTGTTGTCAATTAGGGGGCCCTGGGAAAATGATTTAATCTCCCAGTGGCTGAGTTTTCTGATCTGTAAAGTGGAGATTATGTGCATGCCTACCTCGTGGGGTTTTTTTTGAGAACAAAATTTGAGAATTCGTATGCTTGTCACACAGGAAGCATACAAGTTAGCCATTAAGATGCTGACACCGTGTCTTACCTCTTAGATTCCGAAGCAAACACATATCCAGAGGGAAACAAAACCAGGCAGACAGAGGACTGGGCACTTCCAGCAGGGACAGTGCCATTTCACCTTCTTAGGCTAAACTTTTTTTTAGGATCGGGGAAGGATGTAATTAGGTTTAATTATTTACTTATTTATTTTAACAGAGGTGCT